CCTGGAGAAATAATGAACTGAAATATTACATGTAGCGTAAAAGCTTTGTTGAATGTCAACACGCAACCTTCTCATACAGTCGTACGCTATGTTTAGTCACCTCCGGTCAAACGACACGGTTTGTTGAGTGTCGAAGTGAAAATAAGTGAAAATAGTCCTTTACAGGGAGTTTAACATGTTAGAAATAAAAGGTTATGTAAAATACAAAATGTGCCACACAGGATGGATTTTGTTTTATCCCCCTCCCCAAAGTTAAATTCAACAAGTGAACACTAATTGTGCATTAAAACATGCAGATCTGACCCTAACCCTAGAAGACGCACTTATTTTGACTCAACAAAAAGACATCATCAACAAAAGACGTATTTGACCAGGGGCGCCCAAACATTTGCTCCTGGGGTGTTTAACAACCCACAAATCCTCTTTCTCACTAGATTCATGCCTATAGGAAAAAAATGTAGTTTAATGAATGTGTGTTTATATTATGTATTCAATATATTTCATTTCTGTATATATGTGGAGTTGGAATGGTGCTGATATCTCGAGAACCGTGGGACGACACGAATTAGTGGGAAAAAAAAATGTGTACCAAGTACCATTAGCAACCACCTGGTAACACCATAGCAACTGCCTAGCAACACCTTCGCAACCCCTTGGCAGCACCATAGCAACCACCTGGCAACACCATAGCAACCACCTGGCAACACCCTAGCAACCACCTAACAACACCTTAGCAACCATCTAACAACACCTTAGGAACCACCTGACAACACCTTAGCAACCTTCTTAGCAGCCACTTGGCAACACTATAGCAGCCCCTTAGCAACACCATAGCAACCCCATAGCAACACCATAGCAACCACCTGGCACCAACATAGCAACCACCTAGCAAAACCTTAGCAACCACCTAGCAACACCATAACAGCCACCTGGCAACACCATAGCAACCACCTAGCAACATGTTAGCAAGCTTAATCTGCGCAGTCACTGCATTCGCTTCAGGAAATGCACTATTCTAGTTTAGGTATAAACTATATTGACAGATATTATTGATTATCAGAATCTAAAGTCAGAGTCGATCATGATAAAACTGGCTGATGGATATGAGCTGATTTTTTAGAATAAGAAAGAATTCGAGGAGCTGAATTGAACGTCTACTGAAGAACGTCCTGAAAGGCAGAGGTGCTCAGTGGAGCAAAGCTGCCTGAGGTTTTTACTGTTTCGCTGGAGAACCGTGGAGAACCGAAAGCTGTTTGGTTGCATGAAGATGGAAGAAGGCTGTGAATCCAGCCCAGTCGTAATCAGCTGTCAGTGGTCGTTGGAGATGATTGGCTCGTACTTTAATCGAGCTTCTGGCTTCTTCAGCTCGTGTTTCGGTCTGTGGACCGAGGGGAAGGTGGGACCTCTGGGCTTCATGGTCTGGATTTGGGAAATCTGAGAGAGCAGATTCCCAGGACGCTGGGGGTTTGAGGATTTCCAGGCTGAGAGGATGTTGTGGGGGATGGAGCAGCGCTGGATTTGGGGGGTTTAGGAGCTCAGAGTTCAGGAGAGGCTGAAGGTGCTGAAGCTCTTAGTGTATCTGTATCTGTTCAGAGTAACAGGGTCTGTTCTTTACTAAACACAGAGGAGAACGACAACCTCTCAGATACTGATTAGACCAGAAAACACTCTCTCTCTCACTCTCTATCACTCTCTCTCTATCTCTCTCTCTCTCTCACTCTGTCTCTCTCTCTCTCTCTGTCTCTCACTCTCACTCTCTCTCTCTCACTCTGTCTGTCTCTCTCTCTCTCTCACTCTCTCTCTCTCTCTCTCTCATTCTCTCACTCTGTCTCTCTCTGTCTCTCACTCACTCTGTCTGTCTCTCTCTCACGCTGTCTTTCTCTCTCTCTCTCTCTTTTTGTCTCATACTTTCTCTTTCCTCTTTCTCTCTCTCTTATCTGTAATTATCTCCTTATCTTTTCTTCTTCATCTCTTTCTCTCTCTCTCTCTCTCTCTCGTTTTCTGTCTCTCTTTCATTTTGCTCATTCTCTCCCGTCTCTCTCTTTTCTCTCCGTCCATCTTTTTTCTTACTTTACCCTTTCTCTTTCCCTCACTCCCTTTCTTTCTTTCACTTATCCTTTCTTTCCTGTCTGTCTGTCTTTCTTACCATCTCTTTTCACTTCCCCTCTTTCAATCTTTATTTCACTCTTTTTCTTTCACTCATTCTCTCTTTATTTTGCTTATCCTCTCCCCTCATCCTCTCTCTCTCTCTCTCTCTCTCTCTCTCTCTCCCTCCCTCTCTCTCTCTCTCTCTCTCTCTGACATTTTTCAGGCTGGAGGAGTTTGTTTTTTGTACTTGTCTCAAAGATGACAGGAGGAAAGTGTGAAAGAGAGAGAAGGCAGTGAAAGAGAAGGAGAGAGGGAAGCAGCGATGAGGGGATGACAGAAGTGTCCTGAAGCCTGCCTCTCTCTCTCCCTCTCCCTCTCCCTCACCCTCTCCCTCTCTCTCTCTCTCTCTCTCTCTCCCTCTCTCTCTCTCTCTCTCTCTCTCTCTCCCCCTCTCTCTCTCCCTCTCTCTCTCCCTCTCCCTCTCTCTCTCTCTCCCTCTCTCTCTCTCTCCCTCTCTCTCCCTCTCTCTCCCCATCTCTCTCTCTCTCTCAGCTCTGTACTCAGGCAGCGTCAGTAGTGAATCTCCTCTGGATCTGCAGCACTGAGACGGTCGGAGGACTAAAATAGATCCTCTCAGGAAAAATGATCCACACGTCAATTTATTTACAACATACAGTCTCAAATTTACGATTCTTTATTATTAACTATGAACTATTCGAGTTCAGTTACAGCTCCGTTTGTGATAACGATAAACAACAGATTCGAGCAGGAAAAACGCAGCAGTTCAAACCTAATTGAAGTCGCCTGCAGCATAACTGGTTATTTAAAGCAGAATAAATACCGGCACAGGCAGAAATTCAGGCACCCATCATAACACGATTGCTTACTAGTTAGCTGGCTTGCTAGCTAGTTAAGCCAACTGGTTATCGTCAATGCAGTGTTATTCGCTAAGCTATTCGGAGCTCACATTTGTTTTCATGGCTCAGGAGACTGATACAATTGAAGAATTCAAATTTTCTGTTAAATAATTTCTCAGATGTTAAAATTTCCTGTTGAATACTTTCTCGAAAGTTTGAATTTTCTGTTCAAAAATTTCTCGAATGTTTAAATTTCCTCTTGCAGTTTCCGGAATGTTTAAAAAATTGAATTGAATGCTCTGTATCGTTCAAATATTCTGCTGAATCACATTCAAGTATTCGCTTGAATACTATTTCGAACGTTCAAATGTTCTATTAAATAATGTCTCAATTGTTTGAATATTTTGTTGAATACTCTCGCAAACATTCAAATATTCTTTGAAGCCCTCTCCAGCATTAAAATATTTTATTGGACTCAAACATTACAATGTGATGGTGAATACAGTCTCCGACGTTTGAATCTTTTACTGAATCGTTTAACCAGTTCAGGTAGAGCAGAATTGTGGCTTCTGTTAAAGGAAAACAAAAAATGAGTGCACAGTGTTTATGGCTGTGTTTACTGTAGTGATAGATTTACTGTGTGTGGACGTTACTGATGGCCTTCAGCTTCAGGTCTGCCATTTCTGGTTGCTGATAATCTGTTCAGTGTCTATAAACATCTTTCTTTCTTGGTTTGTTTCATCTGAACGTGAATGACGGCGGAGGCGGGACAGGTCCGGTACATTCGCCATGTAAATAAACACTTTGTCGTCCACAATTTCCCTCAAATGTAATCAAAACTGTTTTAAGGAAATGTTTGCTCGTGGCAGAACGGCGCCTGGATTTATTGTGTGTGCAGGGAAAGTGATTGTTATGGAACATAATTTGGTGCCTATTACGAGCCGCCTGGTGTCGTTTGGGTCCGTTTTTCCCGTCACGTCTAATTGTGCTTTTCAGTTTTAAACGTTCACATCGAGAACCGAAATGTTTGTCCTTTTGTTAACATTTCAGCCTGTTTTACATTCGAAACGCTGCCAAAACACACACACACACACACACACACACACACACACTTGTCGGTGATTCACCTTTTTGAGAAAACCTGTCAAAAAACCAGCGGAGGAGAGAAAACCATCTCTCCGCTGTTCATCATGAAATATGATTTAGTGTGAAAATTCTGAATTAATTACAGATTTTTCAATTATAGAAACTTTTATTAGAATTTAGTAGCTCATGGAGCTTTAAATCAGCTGTAAATAATGGACCGGTGAGCTTTAAATGTGTGTAAAGTACAAAAATAAATAAAACAAAATCAGTTCTGCAGATAGGGGAGGTTTTCTTGCGGCAGCAGCAGAATAAGCAGGTGGAGTATGTGGGTGGCTGCACCTGTATGTGTGTGAAGGCAGATATATGAATATGTGTGTGTGTGCGTGTGTGTGTGTGTGTGTGTGTATGCGCGCGCAGGAGGACAGTAGTGTGTTTCTTTCTTTTATTCTTTTCATTACAGTATTATATTCAATATCACTATTTTATTAGATATAGCAGTATTATGTATTCATTAGGGGTCCAAGCACCTTTTGGTTATTTATTGCTATTATATACGTATTAATTTTGTATGTTTGTGTTATAGTTGTATGGTGTTATACTTGTTGTTTTTGTGCATATAAGATGTGTATATATATATGTGCAATATGGAAAAAATCTAATATTGCTAATATTCATATTACTTAGACATTTTCACAATACATAATATGTCACAATATTTATTTTTTCAGACATCTGATCAGTTGAAACAGAGGAAAAAAGAACCAGTAGTGCTAGATTTCTTTAAAAATATGATTTTTATGCAGTATTTGGCACTAAATCCAGTTAAACAGGGTTAATTTTGCTCTCTTTATAATGAAACATGCAGTTGGTACTGATGATATGCAGGATATGCTCAGAAAAGCATGTTGTATTGTGTCACCCGGCTCTATAAAGAGTGTACTAACAGTAATGTGTGTGTTCTTTTTTCAGGCGGTTGCTCGTTTGATGACGGTCCAGCTCAGTGTGATTACCAGCAGGACCCGTATGATGACTTTGACTGGACTCACGTCAGCGCTCAGGAAGTGCCGTACCTGTCCTCAGAGCTACCTCAAGGTCAGACACGGGGCTTTTACATGTTCTGCTGAAAGAAATCTTGAAAAAAATGAATGTTCTGTTTAATTTGCTCTCATAAATTCACACATTTTATGAAATGCTGCCTGAAACTGAAACTGAACAGTCTCGAACATTCAGGGAATGTATTGAAAAATACCTCAAACATTCAAATATCAATGTTGTCGGAAGAAAACCTTCTATCTCCATTTTTGTTGTTTTTCAGTTTTTGACATAATTTGAAAATACCTGTTGTTCTTTACATGGTGTGTAATTTCATGATGAATGGACCAAAAAAGTGGCCCAAAATTACTTGGGGAAAAATCTCTGGTTCCATTGACGTACATTAAAAGTAAAGTAGGTTTTTTCCTTCTCCTGTAAAGTTACCATTTTGGAGATATAAGGTTTTCTTCCGACAACAGCGATATTTACTAAAATACAGGCTGGAATATTCTGTGGGATACAGACACATTTAAAATTCCACTGTGATGCTGTCTCGGACATTTGAATATTCTACTGAAAATTGCTTTGATTTTTCTAAAATTCTGTTACATGCTGCATCAAACATTCAAATATCGCTGCTGTCGGAAAAAAACCTTGCATCTCCATTTTTGTTGTTTTTCAATTTTTGACATATTTTGAAAATGCCTGTTGTTCTTTACATTGTGTGTAAATTTAATGATGAATGGACCAAAAAATGGCCCAAAATTACTTGGGGAAAAGATTCTGGATCCATTGACGTACATTAAAAGTAAAGTAGGTTTTTTCCTTCTCCTGTGAAGTCCCCATTTTGGAGATACAGCAGCAAAATATTCTTTTGAATAAAGTCTCAAACATTCAAAAATTCCACTGGATACAGTCAAAAACATTTAAATACTACGTTGGACATTTGAATATTCTATTAAATACTTCATGCAAAATTCTAACGTTCTATTAAATACAGGCTCAAACATTCCAGTCGTGTTTTCAACATTCGAATATTCCATTAAATACGGCTTCCAACATTCAAATTTTCCATCAAAGTTGTTGATGATTCACAGCTTTTTCCAAGGGATTCAGGTTGATTCACCTTTTCCAAAAATAAATAAATAAATTGTTAAAAAGAAGCCCAATCCTTTTGTCTCGTGGGTTTAGATTTGGCCTAATCCAGAGTCCAGTGGGTCAGTACCGTGATTGTGTTCTGCTTGGTTCAGTATTTTCTTATTCAGAGCTCAGGAAATGTTTGTTTGTTAGTTTGTTTGAAGAGCTGAATTGAGAGCCAAATAGCAGTAAACCTCAGAGGGGAGCGGTACACAGACACTTTTAGGGCTGTTCACATTCACAGTTTAGTAATTAATCAATCAAAAAGTGATCTCTGTCGATTAAACCGTTAGCTGTTAGCCCTGAACCCCACACTTTAAGGTCAGTAGTGGCAATTCCGTCCAAATTCCCACATTATTTAGCGCGCTAGTAACACAGAAGTCAACTTTCCACGAAGCAGAAAGCCTCCACACTCCTACAGTGACTTTCTGATCGCTCTAATAATAATAAGAGCTAATCTCGGCAGCTGTTACAGGAATGTGGAAGTGTGTGGACGTTCCGACGCGGCTAAAGATGAGCTCCAATTAGCCAAAGGTCATGAGTGCCAGCGGGAGGATAATAGCTTCTGTACAAGATTATCAACATTGCAGTTCTTGTTTTTATAACTCATTTCCAGCTGCTTCTTTAAATCAGGTTGTTTTTTATCTGTGAAACGTTTGCGGAGCGAAGTTCCGTCAGCTAGCGCTGTTGTTTAGCAGCTAAGGGTGAAACTGTAGGGTCGTTAGCGTCCGAGAAACAGTTCTAACATTCCTCAGGAAGACTAATGTTCGCTCTTTCATCACACGCAAAGTCTTTGGCTGCTCGACGCACCAATGAATCTTGCGCTAAGACCAGCAATGCGAAATGAATTGTTAGCGTTTTGCGCTCAAAGCGGTTAATGTGCCTAGCTTATCATGCTAACGCAAGCAGCGTCGCAGTAGTGCAGGTGCTCTTTCTTTTTCCCTCTTCTGTTTTTCTCGCTTTGTTTCTCTCTTTCTTCTCTCTCAGTACAGAACCCTTTGTTTTCAGGACAGGAAAAGGAGCTCTTCTCTTTTCATTCCCGCAGCTGTAAAAACTCTCTGTACTCGGCCTCACAGAGACGCGCTGTTTTCGCCCCAGGGCTTGTCAAAACTGATGCAATTAACCCTCGTGTTGTGTTTGGAGCTCAGAAAACACTTACAGCCATTTTATCAGCTTGATTCTTAACGACCTGATTTAATACAACCTGCTCATAAACGTGATCTTTACCAGTTCAGTAAATTCTATGGACGTTATGTGGAAGACAAACTACATATCTGTCTATATGGATCATGATCATATGGATGTTCAGTCATATGCAAAAGTTTCATCAAGTTGAAGTTACAATTGTTGTCGAGTGCATGGTTTTTATTTATTTAACATATTGGAAAAAAATGAAAGATAAAAGATAAAATGTGCCATAATATCTGCACACATATATATCGTTGCTGTCGGAAGAAAACCTTGTATCTCCATTTTTGTCGTTTTTCAGTTTTTGACATAATGTGGAAATGCCTGTTGTTCTTTACATTGTGTGTGAATTTCATGATGAATGGACCAAAAGAAACGACCCAAAATGGCTTGGAAAAAATTCTGGTTCCATTGACTTACATTAAAAGTAAAGTAGGTTTTTTCCCTCTCCTGTAAAATTGCCATTTTGGAGATACAAGGTTTTATTCTGACAACAGCAAGAGATATATATATATATATATATTAAATGGCTCTTTTCATGGTGAAATCGTTCTTCAGATTAATGGAGAATGTGTATATGGTTCTATAGAGAACCTCTTTGAAAATGGTTCTGTGTAGCACCAAAAAGGGTTCTTCTGTTGTAACAAGCTTGACGTCATAGCAGAATCCTTTTTGGTGCTATATAGAACCATATATAACACATTGGAAGAACAATTTCAATGGTTCTTTGAGTGTTTATCGTTCTATATAGAACCGTTGTCTTTATATATACATACATATATATATATATACTCACCAGAAGCATTCAAGACAATTTAAAAGTCAATATAGATGGAATTAAAATAGATATTTAGAAATATCAAATCTCAGTACATAATAACACTTCGCATCACAGTTATATCAGTGTATATCACTATATATACATGTATATATAAATCACAATATTCTGAAGTGGTAGACTTTTTTGTCTGGGAGGGTTGTGTATCCCCCCACCTCCCCCCTCGAACATGGTACTGTCGGAGACTCGAAAGAGCAATAATAATAATTTATATAGCACCTTTCATATATAACACGCAGCTGTAATAAAGAGCGTAAACAAAACTAAAAAGTAACAAAAATGAAAACTAAGATGAATAGAAAGTTGGATTATAAATAAGCTATGAAGATGACTGATGACTGATATGAGCTGCAGTGATGACGTAAACGCAGTCACAGCAGAAACCTGAGGGCTCAGCGTTTTAGCGGAGGTGTCTGTGGTGAGACCGTGTGAAGAAAAGCACCGCGACCTTCGCTGTTCACCTCCCAACACTCGGCCATTTGTTTCTCTGGACAGGAGGATGTGCTGAACGGAATTAGAGCTTTTCACTCTCAGGTAAATTTCCCAATTAACGCCAGATTGGGTAATTAATCATGCAAAGGCAGTGGAGAAGGTCGTTGGCCCCGAGGTTCTCCGGGCCCGTCTAGAGTCACCTTTTCTGCTTTTCTTCACTGCTGGCCTGATGTGTCACTGCTGTCACATAAAAGTGGAGCGGCAGTCCAAGTTCAATAAACTTTATTGGTTCTTGTGCGTTTGGAAGCCATCTGTTAGTTTAATTTGGCCTGGCAGTGGGTTACTTTCAGTTCAGAGGCTTAACGGGGAAAATAAATCGAGCCGAAATTGTTTTTTTATTCAGGTGCTAACGGTCGCGGACGTACGTCAGCCTCAGTGATGGGTGTGTATTTTTAGAAAGGCTCACAAACACAGACCGCTGTGGCCTGCATAGAGTACACTGTTAATAACTTTATCACAGAAACAGCGATATTGATTCAGCAATGTATTTATTAGAAACACCCACCTTGTGTTTCCTTCTAGAGAACCTTCTAGTTCTCTAGAACTGGCCACTTTATTAGAAACACCCACCTTGTGATTCCACTCACTGGCCACTTTATTAGAAACACCTACTTTGTACTTCCACTCACTGGCCACTTTATTAGAAATACCTACTTTGTACTTCCACTCACTGGCCACTTTATTAGAAACACTCAACTTGTGCTTCCTCACACTGGCCACTTTATTAGAAACACCTACCTTGTGCTTCTACTAACTGGCCACTTTATTAGAAACACCCACCTTGTACTTCCACTCACTGGCCAATTTATTAGAAACACCCACCTTGTACTTCCACTCACTGGCCACTTTATTAGAAACACCACCTTGTGCTTCCACTCACTGGCCACTTAATTAGAAACACCTACCTTGTGCCTCTACTAACTGGCCACTTTATTAGAAACACCCACCTTGTGCTTCTACTAACTGGCCACTGTATTAGAAACACCCACCTTGTGCTTCCACTTACTGGCCACTTTATTAGAAACACCCCCCTTGTGCTTCCTTCTAGAAAAACTTCTAGTTCTCTAGAACTCTAGTTCTCTAGCACTGGCCACTTCATTAGAAACACCTACTTTGTACTTCCACTCACTGGCCACTTTATTAGAAACACCATCTTGTGCTTCCACTCACTGGCCACTTTATTAGAAACACCACCTTGTGCTTCCACTCACTGGCCTCTTTATTAGAAACACCACCTTGTGCTTCCAATTACTGGCCACTTTATTAGAAACACCACCTTGTGCTTCCACTAACTAGCCACTTTATTAGAAACAACGACCTTGTACTTCTTGCCACTTTATTAGAAACACCCACCTTGTGCTTCCCGTTGCAAAGTGGAGGGGTTTCTAATAAAGTGGCCAGGGGG